ACGAGTCTAGGGAGTTGCCTACGCCTACTCCCTAACCCTAACTCTAACCCTAACCCTAACCATATCAGCTAGATAGTTACTAAAGTACGTTCCGGCAGTACCCTGGGGGACATAGACTCTATGAGTACGAGCATGAGTATGAGCCCTATGCCCACAGGCACTTGGAACGTCTCAATAAAAAAAATTAATGGTAAATAAACACGAAATGTACCAGTCTTAATGTTTCTCTATTCTATTTCGCCTATAATCACCTGTAAATGCCAGTCAAATGCTCATCTGCAACACACAAGTACACCGCACGCCCGCGCTGTGCACAAACAACATGAATAAGAGAGCAGGTAGGAAAGCGTGATCGCAAAATGCGCTCGACGCTCGCTTCATTTCACACCTTTACAGAACAAATACACATCCAACAGCTTCCATCTTGGTATCCATGTGTACAGAAATGTCCACTTGTTCGAATTATAACACTGGCCTTTGTTCATACCTACTCAGGGTTCTCCCCAGGATGAAATTGAAACAGGGGGGAGGGGGGGCTGGAAAGGGGGAAGGGAGGGGAAACTAGGGGGGTCCGGGGGGCGTGTTTTTTTACCGTACCACTAATTAATGTGTACTTGTGTGTGGTCTGCAGTACATGCGTGGTACGGTAGAAATACACGAGTGGGGTGTCCTGGTCGAATGGGAATTCTTGACGATCGATTGCCGTGTTGTCAAACTTTTATTGTGGTGGAATTTAATCGGGGCGGAGGTAATTTAAACGGGGTGCAACGATTGAAACAGGGGGGAGTTTTCCCAAACGCGCAACGTAGGGAGAACCCTGCTACTCCCGCCAGAGATATCTCGTGAAATCCTACACAAAATGTGCTCTCCGTGAAAATGTAGAATGTACCCTAACGGCACTACTTTCGATCGATCGCTGTAGTCGTGTGTGTGACGTCATGCCCTCGCGCATTGTGCTTGGCTTGGCGGGCCTCGAAATGGAGCTCGGAGTCCGGCAGCAGCTTATCCCGGCATGCAATGCGCCCCATTACTCGTGTATAAACAGACATCTCGTCCTCTTTACATTTTCACGGAGAGAACATTTCCTGCAGGATTTCACGAGATATCTCTCGCGGGAGTAGGTAGGAACAAAGGCCAGAGTTATAATTCAAACAAGTGAACATTTCTGTACCATCTATGATGTCTATGGAAGCTGTTGGATGTGTATTTGTGCTGTGATGGTGCGAAATGAAGCGAGCGTAGAGCGCATTTTGCGATCACGCTTTCCTACCTGCTCTCTTATTCATGCTGTTTGTGCACAGCGCGGGAGTGCGGCAGGCTTTCATTTTTAAGGGGCGCGATCGCGCTGGCGCTCCACCGCGCACCCGAAATTGTGCCATGGTGCGCGCATCATCGCGCCTCATAAAAGTGGTTGAAATCGCGCACCAAAAGTATGTCTATTATGTTGAAATAGCGCTCCATAGAGTTCTCAATGTAGGGGGGTACAAAAAGTATAGCAACACACAACAATTTGTGGTGTGTAAGTAACTGAACGTATGGCAGAGGTACAGGTCTGGTTACTACCCTCTGGTTTATATATATATATAAATACAACTAAACAACAGCATCCAAATACAGGTACCTATACGGTAGCCACAAGTTACCTGCTCGTTTTCTACTATACGTGGCGAGAAGTGGTTTTCTGCCGACGTGAAACAGTCGTAGGGCTGGAGGGGCTACATACGTGGCTACTACGTACAAGTAATTTGGCCAGTTTGTTGATGGATTGTGATGATATTTTGTGCTGAAATATGCAGGTACATGGATTAGAATCTCTAAGGATGGAAATCAGAATAAATAAAACAAGTTTATTTTTACATCCGATCAACTCTTTTATTAATCTGTGTGCTAGTGTTGGGTTGTTGGATGAAAAGAATGTAATCCTGACGAAGCCATTGAATGAATGAAGGTGAAGATGAATGATAATGAGTAGATTGACATGACATCCCAATTTTCGTTTTTGATTTCACTCTAGACTGAGGATTGGTCATGATTCCATCATCACACCCCAAGAGGCATGATGGAGAGCCCTAAATGAGCTCTCCATCATCCCTTTTAAAGGTGTGATTTTTAGTGAAGCTCCCCATCATGCCTCTTAACTTAAGGGTGTGATTTTTTAGTGGAGCTTTCCATCATGCCTCTTAAGGGTGTGATTATGGAGCGTGAAAACACCCCCATGGTGTCCTAGGGGAGTCATTAGTAGTCCTCCTGTACTTTTCAAATCTGAAAGCCTGGTGCGGTGTACTTGCGTGTTGCAGATGAGCATTTGACTGGCATTTAAAGGTGATTATAGGCGAAATAGAGTAGAGAAACATTAAGACTTTGGTACATTTCGTGTTTATTTACTATTAATTTTTTTTATTGAGACGTTCCAAGTGCCTGTGCCTGTGGCTGTGCCTAGCAGCCTACGCCAGAATACTAAATTATAACGAAGACGTTGACTGTCAAATTATCAAGACTGTTAGTCAACTTTTCAACAAGTTTATGTCATCTAAACACATACCTTTGTTACTTATTCCCATTTAATAAGCACCTTGAATTAAAAAGTCTTCAAACTATAAAAACATTGCCAGTTCACGACTGATTAGGTAGTGAGTGAGTACATAATTTATAACCGAAACGATCGTGTCGTTGCTGTCGCACTAACATCACAAACATTACGTAAGAGAAAACCTACGTGCTTACATAAAAAAAAATTATCATAATTACATTAATTTACTTACTATCTGGATATAAGTAAAAAATCAATGGCTATATCGCGATATTTATCCTGAATAACTGTTTGGTATCTGAGAATGTGAGCACTGAACTTATTTATTGTGACACACCCGGATTCGTTGAACATGGTCCGGAAGTTGACGTTGTATAGTTATCGCCATTTTGCGTTTTTGTTCCGTGAAACGGTTTGTTCGACTGAACAAGATTTCTAGCTCACATCTAACAGGCAAGGTTTTGTTGTCCCGATTATGAACGGGTAGGTTATATTTCTTTTTCTTTTTTGTTTAGTCGTACTTGTACGTTTATCTCGATTTTCGTTATATTTTTCGGGTGAATGTACGATAGCGCGGATTAGCGAGGTGGTCGGCGATTGTGTTCCCGCTAGAAACATGGCTCCTTGTCACTGTGACGATATTACCAGTGGTTGACACGCACATTATAAGCTTACGGCGCATCTTACTCACGTAGACTATTGGTCTGTTTCGTAATTAGTCATAAAGTAGCTTTTGTAAACGAAGTTTTCATTTAGATATTTGAAATCAATGTCATGACTCATATTATTATAACTCGTGCGTCGGTGCGAACTGTCGATGTCATTGTTAAATCACGGAGCCAGTTAAGCATGGAGTGATCGAGTAGGTTTGATTAAGGACTAAAGATAATTTTGACGAGCATGTTGTACATCATGTAGTGTAGCCAACGTGCAAACGATAGCAGCAACCTGCTGCCCAAGTTCAAAATAAATTTCTAGCACAGAAACGCCGGTTTATTTTAGTTTTAAGTAGGCCTAATTCACGATTCAGGTTCCATTATAATTATTTAACAGAGTGGCTATATGCCCGGCAGCCGGCATATATCTGACGGCTGCCGGGTACGGTCTTCGATTTCCTAAATGCCTGGCAGTTTTTAATTTTCAGCGTTATCTCAAATAAACAAGGGTTATGGTTAGGAATTGCCGGGAATTTAAAAAATCGAAGACTGTGCCCGGCTGCCAAGCATATAGCCACAGCGATTATTTAACCAACTCAAGTTCAAAAATTTTGTTTTCTAATGAAAAAGCATTGAATAATAAATTATAACTTGCTCTAGCAATTGAGAAACATTGTCACTAATTTCTCTCTGTATCTGGTTGGTTGAATTTAAATGCTTGTGACAGTAGTGTCATAATGCTAATTTTATAGTGGATACATGATCTGGCAAGATCTGAAAGCAAACGTTAAAAATATTAATATTGCATTGAATCGAAATGACATAAAATTTCGTTCATCATCATAGACTAACTCACAAATAGAGTTATATGTCTTGGAGTTTAAGCTATTAGTCATTACATACATTTGCACAATGCATTTATTGTGTAAAATCTGTCATTGACATTGTGGTGCCCTAATTGCTAACTGCTTTAATTTTGTTTCTTTTTTTTATTCTAGGGAGTTTTCTGTAGTTGGATTCAAGGTAAGCTATTGTCATTATTTGACTTGGTTATATGTACATCTATGGGTCAAACTAGAGTGATACACTCATAGTCATTTGTGTTGTATTTTTTTATTCTTCCTGGACATGATTCTGTTCATTTGAATATTTTGCTGTATAGTAAATGCTTATAAATTATGAAGCAGCCGTTGATAGCAGCCTGGAAAGGAATCTACCAAGGTTATGTTGAACTGTGATTCAAGTTGTTACAGCTGTTATGATGGTGTGTTGGAGTTTTTATGTTAGAGAAAGCCCAACCTTCATTAACGTGAAACTGCCGCTGCTTCGGTGCAGCTGTCGTTAGTTGAGAAGGTTACTGTTTCACCCAGTAGAGTTTTAGCATGCGATGGAGGGCAGTTGATAACACCTAATTCGCATTCCAATATATAAGTTGTTTCTTCGGAAGGCCTTTGTTGCTATGCTACATTTACTGTTTTAATATGAACAAGGATTATGATTACATACATGTTATACTGTTATTTGGTACAAAAAATCATGTTTGTTGTGATGGGCAAAAATGAACTATCGTGTGATTTTTTGACTTAAAATGGACGTAAGAACTTAGGTGGATGCGGAGTACATGTCCTCGATCCCTTATTTGCAAATCTGAAAGCCAAAAAGCACTGAAAACCGAAGTTTTATTCATGATTAGTCGCTCTTGCACCTGACGTGGTGCTGAATATGTAACAACACTGACAATATCCACAATGCTTGCTATAAACTATAGTATTTGTGGTTTATATTTATCCCTATGTTTCATTTACCAAATTCTTGTGTTCAAATAAACTAATATATGTTTAATATTGTATATTTATTCTACCCAATGTCAATATTTATGAGATTAGGCACAGAAATATTAATCTATTAGCTTTTGCGGTGCTGCCACAGACCTGCTGGGGTGTTGAGGTAATATACAGTACATTTATACTATTTTGAAATCTGAAAAAATTCCGAATTTCTAAAATGAGTCGGGCACATGGGTATTGAGTACATGGCCGCTGACGTGTAGTTTCCAGATAACTCCATCATCAGTTATTCTTATTCAGGGGTAGAAATTATGTTTTGAACACCGGAGTCCAATGGGACTCCCTGCCCTCAAAAAGATGGAGTCGGCAGCAAAATGAGGGAGTCCGCAGTCTGAAGTTCAAAATTAAAGATAAAACAATAGTGCATGTGCTTATTTTGAAAATTCATGCGGTTGGATTCCAAATTTTCTTTGGACATTTGCTGGAAAAATACGGTAATTCTGCGAGGCTCTGGAACGAACTAGTTACTAGTTAGTATAGCATAATTTTCAGGGAGTCCGACAGTAAATCAGGGAGTATTTGACTCTGGACTCCCGTTAATTTTGCACCCTGTTTATTTGTTCACCACGTGGAGACTCGTAGTGAAAGTATTCTTCATGCTCTCGGACTTGTAAATAGATTTCTGTTTTAGCTTTCTACGCAGCGCAAACACGTGTATAAAGACAATAAATAACAGATCTTACGGTCATTAGCGAAGCAATGAACTTACCCATCTTATTACGTGTTTCTCGTCGGAATGAAATTACTGGCAGCTTCGTCATCTTGCTGTAACGTAATCCTCTCGTCACTGTGTCAGTATCGTTAGTCGTTATCCGTTAGCCACTTATTTTCCTTCCTGCAGAACTGCACTGCTTACAGTAAGTCTTCTAGGAATAAGTCTGAAAAGCCAGCCTACCAGTACTGATTGTGAAAGTGTTTGATTTCTACTGTATAATCTATGTAGAAAAATTGTGAAAATTATCCAGTCCCACTCAAAATTTGCTAGTCAAACTGCTATTCTAAATTTTCAACAGTGCCAATTACAGATGCCTGGCAGAGGGGAGGTTGTCAGAACGTGTTACAGCTATAATTCGGACTGAGATAACACCTTAGATTAGTATTGCTATGGAATAATGGTATTATCAAAATTTGGCCTTGCAGCGTACGCTTGGCTTGCTGTAACCGGAATTTGCAGATTGCTGTTACAAAGTCACTGGCTAGAGGACAGATCTATTGTTGTATTTTAAATTTGAGCGTATGACGTTTTTTTTATGAAATTGAGTTTATAACTGTCATAACTGTCTATATATAAGTTATAACTGTGATCTTGTGGAAAATTCGTTATTTGAACGCCTTTTGCTACGTCGGACATATCATAGATTTACAAGCAGATTTTCTCATATTTTTCACTGTCAGGACTGCATCTACGATATTTTGTCAACCGTCTACGAAACAAATTCAGGACCGAGATTCAAATATCGCTCTGAAAACAAGCCCTGACGTTCGGTGTAGGTGTGTCCCTATTATCATCATTTCCATGCCCACGCTTACATCTCTGCGATAGCCACGCATGAATTTTTCTGCTGCCACGTTGGCAGGCAATTGCACAACCTAACTTAGGACCTGCGAGTGACACTGACAGTCGGGCGTACGTGTGTTGCCTTGCGGCGTCAGCCTGGCCCCCCAGAAATCAATATTGGGAATTATAGTTCAATATTGACCCTATAGGCAAACAGGGAATTAGTATCGATCGCGCGGCGTGGCGGTCGCCGGCGATATCCGATGTCGAGTTTCATCAGCAGGGTCCGTCGGTGCTTACTGGGGACTTTGTATCGCCGTTTCAATACTTAATTATTTATTCGCCGTTTGAGTGGAAAATCGTTCCGTAGCTGACGACAAAGCGCAGGGGCGCAGCGAAAAAACGTGTGCTGGTGCGAAAATGTTAAATACTGTAGAGCTGGTGGGGGAAGGAGATGGGTTCTAAAGCTGGGTCAGTGTGTGGGTGGGTGGGTCTGTTGTGTGTGTGTGGACTGTGGACAGGTAGGTGGTGTGGGTGGAGGGCAGCTCGGTGATGTGGGTGGACCGGATAATGTTGTAGTTAGACTGGTCGATTGTGTAGGTGGGTGGGTCGGTAGTGTGTGGGGCGAAGGGTCAGTGGTGTGGGTGGGTCAGTAGTGTGTCTGAGGGGAGGGGTTGGTGGTGTGTGTGTGTGGGGCGAGGAGTCGGTAGTGTGGGTTGGGAGGGGTCGGTGGTGTGTGTGTAGGGGGAGGGGTCGGTAGTGTGTGTGTAGGGGGAGGGGTCGGTGGTGTGTTTGTGTAGGGGGAGGAGTCGGTGGTGTGTGTGAGTGATGCCCAGTGTCCGCTCAGAGCAGCGAGTCGATGTAATGCGTTCAGACTGCCGACAGCTGCAGTCATAATGTGTACAAATATTTATCTGACATTTTGCGCCTAGGGTTCTGTCGTACTTAATTAAATAACAATCGCTTAATGCTAGCAGCGTGGCTCAATGAAAAGTGTGTGCGTGCGTACATGCCCGTGCATGCGTGTGTGCATGTGTGTCACTGTGCATGTGTGTGCAATGTATAATTCCCACTCGCACATCTCAGAAAGAAATCGGATGAATTATTATTATGCACAGGCAATTCAGAATTGTGCAGGGAAATTGTTTCGTCTTTTCCAAAACAATTTTCAGTGAAATGTTTTATCGGGTGATAATTAATTGTTCAGGCCATAATAAAAATATTTTTTGTTTGCCCTCACCTGACCGAGCCGCCAAAAATTTGTAAAAGGACCCTTGCCCTCAAAAAAAGGTGACCTACCTACCCAAAATTTTCAGCCTGGGTCGGTTGGGGGCAAACAAATATTTTCTTAATTGTGGCCTTGGTGCTCTTGTATGTTTTGCTGTATATTCAAACTTATTGCTGATCTGTTACGCAGACTTTAGTATAATGTAGGTACGTCAGGCCAATGTGTGGGAAGAGTGTGTGCTCTGATTAATATCCTGCCACACTCATGCATTATTACTTGCCACGGCGACATATAAATATATATATAACGGCAGGAACGCGCGCATGTGTGGGTGCGTGCGTGCATCTGTGTGTGTGTGAGAGAGAGAGAGAGAGAGAGGGAGGGGAGAGAGAGAGAGAATATTAGTACTATAGTTAGGGCCTTACTGATTATAGATACTAGCGACAGTACTATTAGCAGGGCGCGAATTAACGCGCAGTCCGGCAGTCAATTACTATCCCTGATTTACTGTCGGAGACCCCTGATTTGACATATGCTAGGAGTTTCGTGTGATCGCCTGAAAAATTCTGCTATATATTAACGTAGTTTGTTTCCAGAGCCTGGCCTCTGCGAATACCGCCAAAATTTCAAAGAAAATTTTGCAAGACGTGCACCGCAATGAAATCCTCCAAAATAAGCACATTCGTTATTGTTAATATCGCATAATTTTGAATTCAGACTCGAAGGGACGTCCCTCGCCTCATTTTGTTTGCGGACTCCTTCTTTTTGAGGGCAGGGAGTCCTGTTGGACTCCCTTGTTCAAAAGTTAATTTCTACCCCCTGCCGTTAGTATGGTCTTTAAATACTATTAGTAAAGATCTTTACTAGTAATGGTACAGCTTTACTATATTAGTTGGAGCCTAATACTATTTTATGTTAATATTAGGACCTTAACGCTTAGTAAAGGCGCGATTATTGGTTAGAACCTGACCATGGAGGGTCTTATTTCTCATAAATTAAGTAAGCGTTAAGATTGGCGCAGCCCAACATTCACATGTGAGCGAACTAACTGCCATCAGTCGCTTATCCTCATGCTCAGAGTACATGCCTCGACAGCACATAGTAACGCGAACTGAATTTTCCACCCCTGGGAAGTCAAGTAAAGACTGTTTGCCTTTTCGGTTTAAAACGCTAAGATTCTTCGCAGCACGCTGGAAGGATGGAGGAGGCACACCAAGGCACTACACTTCCTTCAACGACCGGGGGATATGCATCGCTACTTCTCCTTTCTAATCAAACGCAGGAGACACGGTCTACGGTCTAAGAAACTGGCACACGCTATGTGGAAATTTATGGGAAGGCGGCACAGGAGTTAAACACGGGTAGGGCAACTCGGCAGTTATTAGCCGTTACAATACCTGGCGATTTTGCAGGAGCGTAACAGAGAGGAAAATCATCGGCATTTCCTGCT